AGCATATTTAATAACTCGTAATTACATTTGAAAAATGAAATTCACGGAAAATCGTTCTCCGTATCGTGTCTCATTTGCTTCCGCTTGCCTTTCGTATTGCGGAATTGCAATTCTCAAAGCGCAGCAATCTCTTCATTTCCTCACTTGCAAAAAGACCGGCGAGTGATAGAAAGGGAGCGGCCGGTTAGCTTCGTCGTCTTGGCACTAATCATTCCCCAATCAATAGATCGAGCTTTAATTGCCGCGTCAGGATTCCGTTATAGGATTCCAGCCGCGCGGGAAGAGGTAGGGGGGGGGGGGCGTTCTCTCCAGGAAGGAAAGTCACATTGTGCCGCGAGAGATTCGTATCAGGATTCCCTTCCACCCCGAGCACGGCTGGACCAATCATCGACATACCTATCGCGCAAATTGTCTGTAATCTTGGTAGCGCGCGCTTTTCTGGAAATAACACGCCGAGCGTGTTCTGGAAAATAAACGCATCCGTTGCGCTCTCGGTCGTCCAAGATTCAGCGGCAACGCATCCTCCCGTGCGCGGTTTTTCTCCACGGCGGCGCCGCACCTTTTGAAAGGACAAGTCGCCGCGGCCGATAATCACTCCTCGCCATAATACAAGCATTAAACGTAATCGGAATTTAATCGTACACCGTGGATAGGTAGGATAGAAGAGACGTATGGATGATTGGACGTGTCCTAAGTAAACCGAAACGTGCGTAACGTTAATAACTGGCATGGATGCACTCCGTACGAACGTGGAACAGCTGTGCCGTCCTTGCCACGTGCAGCTTGTTTCATTAATCAATATGTGCGTGGAAATTAATGGGTTAATGGACGTAAAAAGAGAAAGATTCGATCGGCCATTAATTCTGCATTCCGATAATTCGACGCGGATGCGTTCGAGATAGTTGACGCACCGTAGAACTACATTCCAAATATCGTTCCTTTTAGCTGCGCGGCCTCTCGCGAAACCAAATTATGCCGCGGATATTAATTTCCGAACATGACGATTTGTCTTGACTACAGCTTTTCAGAATAATATTCAAATTCCTCCTATGAAAGTGGCATTCGTTTCCACTCCACTGCGCTCGGACTTCGTCACGTTTGATTAATTATAATCAGAAGGCTAGAACTTTGATAGTCTTATTTATCTTGTTGACAAATAATCGCCGTGAGATCTCGCGATATCTTTCAGTCACGGTCTTACATACAGGGTCTGGAAACTCGGGCCGATTTTTAGCGGTGGGGGTATATGCTGCTTGATGGACTGGAAATTGATAGCTCCCTATCATAGACTTATACAAATAGACTGCGCGTCCCGTGAGAAGAATTGAAGACTACATTAAAGTGAGAGAGCGATAAGCTGAGTTAGAGACCGTCAAGAGAGAGTCTGGAAACGCAACCCTGCCGGAAATAATTCTACAAAATTCTAGAAAAAAAAATTATACCGCCAGAATCTAAGAAATTCTACGTAAATTTAAAAGGTGTTATAAAAACATAAAAGTGCTAGAATTGAAACACCTTTGTTAATTTTTGTAGTATTCTACAAGTAAGCAGATGTTTTAATTCTGTAAGATTTTGTTGTTTCCCAAATTTTTAAGACTAGTGAAGTTTTGTACGAATGTTTACATAATTGTACATTTTCATGAAATATCACTTGCAATAGTTTCTTCATTGGAGAACATTGTAATTTGTGGTACTATATTTCGTAGATATCTTTACAAAAAAATTACTGTTTCAACGAAGATAAATAATAATCCAAAATTTTCCACAAACTTCTATTTCAAGTCAATTTTTTTGTAGAAAATTTAAACTGAACTAAAAGTCACTAGATTTGATGCATGGCGGACGTTTTCTAGACCCTCCCTTGAGGGTCTCCAGTCTGAGTAAGTGTGTCTTTGTCTAACATGCGCGTTGGTGGAGGAAATAAGGAGACGAGAAAACGAGAACGGCTTCGAAGAGTTCTCTTCTCTTTCTAACTTTTCTGAAAGAAAGGCGAAGAAGAATACCTCGAAACAGTTGAACTCCGCACTCTTAACAAAGAGCGAAAGAGAAAGCACAGCTCACGCAATATCTCTATCCTTCAGTGTAGTCTTCAACGCGCCCATAAGGACGCTGTCTATACAGGGTGTCCAGGAGGAAAGGTCAATATTCTGGGAGGTGATAAATGTTGATATGAATATACGTCTCATTCCCCACTGTCCTGCCGTCGGATATTAGAACTATACGAATCATGGACAGCAATAGCGTTTTCGACTAAGCCAGGATCAATCGCTCCGGGATCGCTAAAACCCATGTCAGTTCCAGTCGGTCGAAAAACGCTATAAGTGACAACACCCTCACCACCGGAGTTTCCAGACCTGTATGTATAAGACCGTGCTTTCAGCTTTCACGAAGTAAATAAAAACGGCGCGGCGCGACCGAAATAATGGAGGGATTTTATAACTAGCGATTCCCGCGGTCATGACGGGTCGCGATTTTCGATGCACGGCCATCCTCTGAAAGGGAAGAGCCGGGGACTCGTTCAAGGCGAGCTACATGCCGCGGCAATTAACGGCCCGATATTTCATCTGGAAAACAAGGCGAAACAGCCAATATTATTGCATCATGATCTTGACGTGGCACAGCTGTAAGAATACATTAAATCTCGGAAAGTGGTGCAACGAGCGCGAGCGCGCCAATTGCTTTCCCGGATAACGGTGCGTCGACAAACGCGCCACATTGTACGAATTCTGCGAAACTGCGACGATAAACGGCGAGAATATTACTTGTAATGGCATTTAAACTATTTTAAACAGCGTTCTGTCACATGGACGGTACATACATCGGCGAGACGCGCCCCGTCGCGCTCCGCCAGTGCATCGCGCCTACGTTTATCGTTGCACGCGCAATTATATTAATTCCCTCGCTTTCCTTCCGGAAAAACTCGTAGCGCACATCGCTCCCGACTTATTTAGCTATCTGAGAGTAAATAATCGCGTGGGTAAATAATCGTTCTCTGCTCGCGCTATTAATATGCACCGCGAATTGAAAAACAACGCGTACACGTGGAGAGGAGGAATGCTAAATATCGCAGATTACTCAAGAGCACGCAACTATCTATTTACATTGTTGCGTAATGCGAGGGCACGGAGGTAATTAACGGAGTAATTAATCGGCGCGCAACAAGACTCCCGCCGGCTCTTTAAACGCCGGCAAATCCATCTCGGGGAATTAACACGCGGAAAAAAGCCGGCGCACCAGCCGAACAACTTCATTCGATATATCCCTCGCGTATAACGTTACGTCGCCGAGGCGCTATATTCCGTTTCTGCCGCTCCATTGCAAAACCGGGCACGGTATATTCCGTTACGCGATATCGCGCATTGTGTGAAACGTATATAGGCAATTCCTTGACTGTCGTTCGCGAGAGACAATACAGCATCCCCGGAAAGTCGCGGTAGAATACCGAGGAACGGCTACGAATTTTATCGAGTCAACGTTGCGTTGAAAACGTTTTTCCCACGAATTTTTTAATTAAGTCAAAAGATCGAAAATCTCGAGTAGGCGTCATAAATTATTTTTCAGCCCCACACAGTTGAAAAATTTGTGTTTTTTTGTTAAAAATATGCCAATAAAAATTTTTGTGTTAAATGTTTAACACATTCATGTATTAATTTAACATATTAATCTTGTGTTAATTGACCTCAAATGTAAAATTATTAAAATAACTAGAAACGATAAAACGCGCGCTTCGAGCGCGCAGTTTATGGTCAAGCATTGTATATTTTTAAGAATTTGTATACACGTGAAGAAGTAATTGTATGCGCAACGTCAATTTAAAATAAAAAATAATTTGTCACTCACTGATACGGTTCGCAACAGCAAAGTTGTACATCGCTAACTATACATGTTAAACTGTAACAATAAAAAAATGTATACGATTATTATAGACTAATTATGTAAAATCCAGACTATTGTATTAAATATATTTTATATTTAATATTTTTGAAAATGGGTATTTATTAAAATAATTATATAGAATACTGAAAGTCTTCCTTTCAAATATGAACTCACAAAATTTTATACGTATGGTTTTGTCTCTAACACTTATTCGAATCCACGTTCGAATCATTTGAATAAATAAAATGAAAGCACAGAACAGATGCTTTATTTTGCACAATTAGCAAATAATAAAAATGTAAGACACTTACCTTACGATTTCTCTGCCGTTGCCCGATGCCGCCTAGGCCTGCTCCTCCTCTCATTGTCAGATTTTCTTGTTGCACTTCAACAGTTCATATTTGAAAGGAAGACTTTCAGTATTCTATACGATTATTTTAATAAATACCCATTTTCAAAATATTGGCTCAATACGATCAAAAATTGGCCAACGTTTGGTCAATGCACTGTGCTACTAGAGAAATTATGGTAAAAGAGCGCTTCGATTTTTACATCCTTAGAACTATGCTGTCTGCATTATAGCGAATTCGGTTGCTTGCACTAATGCACACTGAGTGCACACTAAGACTTGTTTATTCAGTCAATTTTTATATGTAAGGATCGTCTTAAATACCTCTTGAAATATTTCTTATTCAGAAAAATGGTCTGTATAGCGTTCACGCGGATTAGTTTTTGACTAAATACTCTTTGAACATGATTTAAGACAAAGTTAAATATAAGAATTGACTATAAACAGGCCTTTAGTGTGCACTCAGTGCGCACTAGTGCAAGCGACTGAATTCGCTATTACTTTGACATCGTGAAGTTGATTTTTTTCACGGATATAATGTAAGAGGAGAATCAATACTTCTATTCCTGTATGTGTGTATACGTAACCTGAATGTGTACATACGTCATTATTATTCATATCGTATTTGTTTACTTATAACGTAAGGGTTACAATTAACCTTTTTGTAATAATTAATTCTCATTTGGATTTTTGTGGAAGCGACTATGGAACAAATAGTTGAGATTGAGAGAAGTGCAACGATACAAGAAGACACTGCATATTCTGAATACGGAAAATGGCGTAATTATTGTGCGCCAACAAAACAAATTACAAGAGAGCGAGTATCATATAACAATAAGATGTTTATGAGATTATAATTGGCCAAGCAAATGTAGAGATTGAGACAGACTGAGCGGGTTTTTTTTTTATAATAATCGGGACTTCTTCTTACAGTTACAAAACGTCCCCTGATAAATATACTTATAGATTTGGCAAACCGTCGAAGAGCCGAGGATCGGAATCTCGGGTGAAAAGAATTTTGACTTGGATTAATCACGAACCGGTTACTTTAATCAATTGTCAACAAGCCGATTTCATAGAGCGAACTAGATCGTTTGTCGGACAAGCCAAGTAATGTCATTTAAACTAACAATTGTTAATCTTGCGATAATTATATAATTTATAATGACATGACGAGAGAAAGCAAAAATCTCAATAATCTCTTACGTAACAAACCCCTTTCATTATGTGAAAAAAAAACAGATAAATACAAATATTTTAATCGTCACAAAGTTTCAATGAAATAATTTTATTTTTCTAATTGCATTTTATTCTTTTTACATTTTTTAATTATACAAAAATATATTTTATTTACGTTATTCTTAAGGTGCATAGATTTAATTCCTTTCAGACTATGAAATGTCACAAATTAAATAATATACAGACTGTGATTTTTCTTAACATTTTCTTTTCTTGTATAATAAACAAATAAGAATTTAATTTATTAATAATCAAATATACCGCCTCGTTGTAAAGAATAACTAGATTTGTGAATCAAGGTATCCAGAATCGTCACGTCTTTATGTAGATGTTGTACACGGTAGAAAGACCGTGAAAGATGAATTTGGTGTGTCACACATTTTACATGATTTCGATTTAAACAAGCAAACGCCTTTCTGGTGGCAGTGTTTACAAGATTTAAATGATTTTCGTCGGAAACTCAAAAATCGCATGCCGGAAGTGCCATTCTTGGACATAGAGGATGAGTTTTCTTGTCTGGACAAAGTATATGTCCATTTTTTAATACATTTATAATATATATTATGTGTATTATTATTATTTTATATATTTATTACATCGGTAAAATTAATTTATGTTAATTTATAAATTCGCATCAAAATAAATAGAATACATAAATCGTTAATTAAATTGACCAAAAACGAGAATCACAGTTACATTTTTTTATAATTATATAATTGTTATAAAATTTTAATACACACAGGAGTATGTCGGGACTCTGCCTGAAGATAAAGTTTTTCTGATTTTCGACAAGTATCGAATATATCCAAACAAGAATTTTCTTGTACCGTTAATGGACGCGTTGCAGTTGCGCAAAGATGGAAGTGTTAATTACAGGGAGTTGTTGAATCTCTTGAATTGGAAGCACAGCTTACCCGTGCTACCAACGATAAAACGTGAATGAATTACGGATAATCTTTGTAACATCTCCCAATTTTTTCGCAAAATTGATCGACTGGAGAAACTTGTAAACTAGAGAAACGATAACATTACGTGTGACAATTGAATATTAATAATAATTTTAATTTAGCTTATAATAACACAGTGATAATGTAAGAAGATATTATTTTAGAGTCATCAGTGGCGAGTCCAGATCGAGCTACATATAGTGACAGCATAGGAAATATTGAGACAACTGATAGCACAAGTAGGACTTTCTAAATATCCGTAGAATATTCCTTTTATAAAGTGAAGCGAGTATTTGGAAAACAAACTTACTTTAAAAAAATATAGAAGTACGGGCAGCAGGACTTCCATCCGAAAGATCGGATTTTCTGATTACAATGTTACCGCGCGCCGGTATACATCCAGACACAGAGAATTTAGGTGATCAAACCTCCGTTCATTGCTTAATATCGCCCAGCATATTCACGAGATACGGCTTGACACATATAGATTTTTTCAAGGTAGCTCGCTTGATCTCACATCATCGAATTCTTTTATACATATATTATCATATAGCTATTGCTGTTCTTATTTCGAAATAAATTGTATGAAATTACAAAAGTCGAAGTGATTTTCTCACTTAGAAAATTCGCTAAAATTCCTGTATAAATATGTTTAAAAATTAATATTCATAGTTTTAGATATTATGTGTATACAACTTTTACACAATAACTATGAATATTAATGAAAATACTAATTTAGATTATTCAATCTGTTGTATAGATTCGCGACAAGGAAGAAATACGAAGCATATTCGAGAATATTGGTTACGAATTTCCAGAGGACAGTTTCGATATGCTTTGGCAAGAAGGAATAAGAAAAGACTGCACCGACGGCGTGTGCGTGAAAACATTTCAGGAGTTACTCGCCGCGTCGGGTTCCGTAGCAAAGAAAATTGCATGCGGCTAGATGCATATCAACCGATCTTTTCCGCAAGGTCGTATCTTTACGGAATTTTCGGTTTTTGTGCTTAAACGCTCACTCTGGTTCAGTATGAGATCTACGTCTTAAATTCTTTATAGAAAGAGCTTGCAAAATATATAAATATATAACTTTTATTCAATGGTTAAAGTAACGTTTATCAAGTGCTAAATGCATATCAGCGTTGAATAAACAAACTATACAACACATTTGTTTAATATGTCTAGAGTAAAATGTATAATTATGATATGATTATTTACAATGTAGATTCCAGTCTGCTGGTTTCAAGAATTTCGGTTTCTTGTCGAATGGTTCGTCTTCGTTATTTGTCGTCCTATGCTGCGGCTTTCTACGCCTATTCACAGTATCAAATTTCGCTCGCATTTTCTTCCATTGAACAGCCATCTGTTCATCAGATATGTCAGCATCCTGCTTCACCTCTACTTTGGCTTGCTTGGCATTCTTCCTCGCTTCCATTAACTTCTCTATAGCCGGATTCATCCCTTGAAAACTTATTCTACCATCAACAAGCTTCTCGCAGAAGACGTAGCTCGGTTCCATAAGAAACTTTCCACTAAAACAAAATAGAGGCGATTGATAGCAGCGATACTGCCACTGAAATAAAATATTTGAGTCATGTGCAATAATATGTCAACATGCAAAACACACAAATTTACTTACATTTGTTATTATTGATCAAGATGCAAGGCTTTGATACTTTGATACTTACGATGCTTTCTTCATGCGTGACGTAAGCTGGTTACCAAAGTACTCCTCTCCTTCTTCCTGAAATTGTTCTTTCTCCACTTTGTCTTTTGTCCGTTTCATGAACTGCAAACAAACCCACATATTGTCGCGCACAATGCTCCATCTTCTAAGATTGTTTTCCCCACTCACCTTCATTTCCAATATACTCTTCGACAGAGTTATCCTCTTCGAGTCCATGTTTATAATGATTAAGAGTTCGAATATGAAAAACTAACGATAATGTCTCTCGAGAAGTAGTTGCAATGTAAAACACTGATAATCCTTCAGGGAAAAGTCGAAATCGTAAAGAATTTCTTCTGCAGATTAAACGCGCGTGTCAAGACGTACCAGATAGTGTAAACGAGGCACAACCTAACCTAACTTTTCACTACGTACCAGCTACAAACCATCTTGAAGATTTCTGCATTACCAACATAATTTGTATAGCAGTTTTGAGGAATTTTAGATTATCAATCTAAGGTAATACTGAATGCATAAGGTGCGATC